CTTGAGAGCCTTCTTTCCTCTGGAATTTTCTGGAGAAATTTCTGGAGATGCATTCCTTAAAAATGCATCTCTATACCTTATACTTTCTTTTATCAATTTTTAATATTTTTAAAAGAATAGGTGTTGATTCTTCTTTGAATGTTTGGTAGAATTCACCTCTGAAGCCATCTGGTTCAGGACATTTGTTGAGAGTTTTTTGATTACCGATTCAATTTCATTAGAAGTAATTTTTTCATTCAGATTTTCTGTTTTTATTTTTTTTTCTTGACTCAGTCTTGGAAGATTTTATGTTTCTGGGAATTTGTTAATTTCTTCCAGATTGTCCAATTTGTTGGCATGCAGGTGCTCGTAGCATTTTCTTATAATCTTTTGTATTTATGTGGAATGAGTTGTTATTTCTCTTCTTTCATTTCTGATTATATTTAATTGTGTTCTCTCTCTTTTGTCTTGATGAGCCTAGTTAAAGGTCCATCGATTTCGTTTATCTTTTCAAAGAAACAGCTCTTGGTTTCATTGATCTCTTGTATTATTTTTATTATTTTATTTTATTTTTTAATCGTATTAATTTTTAGACTTTGTTTCATTTATTTCCACTCTGATATCTATTATTTCCTTCCTTCTACTCACTTTGAGCTTTGTTTGCTCTTCTTTTTCTAGTTTCTTTAAGTGTAAGGTTAGATTGTTTATTTGAGATTTTTCCTGTTTCTTGAAATATGCCTTATTGCTATGAATTTCCCTCTTAGGGCTGCTTTCACTGTGTTCCATAGATTTGGGGTCATTGTGTTTTCATTTTCATTTGTCTCAAGGTATCTCTTGATTTCTTTTTTGATCTCATTGTTAACCGATTTATTTTTCAGTAGCATGTTATTTAGCCTCCATGTGTTTGTGTATTTTTCATTTTTTTTTCTTGTAAATGACTTCTCGTTTCATACCATTGTGGTCAGAGAAGATTCCGATGCTGATTACCTGCCACCAAAAGTGACTCTGGAGGTGTGCAAGCCAAAGTCTGTCGATTGCTGCTGAAGGAGCCTCCTCCTATGAGTGTGGAGTGAGGCTGTTTGCCTAGCCATGAAAACACCTCCAGCAATGTGAGAGTTGGGTGGGATGGGGTCTCAGAGAGTTACCAGGGTGGAACAAGTAGAATTCACCAGGCCAATGCAGATTCAGATTTGGCCATGTTGTGGGGGGGTGGGGGGGCGGGGAGTTCAATACAGGCAAGAGGGTGCTTGTCTACAGGCTACACAGGAGGAGGTTTCAACAAAGGGACAATAGCAGCTGTCCCTCTAGCCTTCACTCCAAAGTCATACAACTCAGTCTTTCTCTGTAAGTCTCTGGTGCCTCCCAAGCTGCTGTCTCTCCACTGGAGCCCAGTGTGAGCTCTTGCAAGAGAGTGAATCTGTGTGTGGGCCCTTTAAGGAGATGTCTGAGTTTTCGGTAGCCTTCTGTCTCACCCAGACAGTTGAAATCCCTGCTGATTTTCACAGCCAAATTTTTGTGGGGATGCCTTTTTCTGGCACTGGACATCTGGGCTGGGGAGCCTTGGTGTGGGGCTGGGGCCCCTTGATCCTCTGGGGCCCCTTGATCCTCTGGGGGGACCTCTACAGTTGAGATATTTCTCCCAATGCTCAACTGCCACACATAGATGTGGGGCCAGCCCCACATGTCTCCACCCCACTTACCAGTCTCAGTGTGGCCTCTCTTTTTATATCCTTAGTTATAGGACTTCTGTTCAGCAAGTCTTCAGATGGTTTTCTAGGTTGATTGTTCTATTTTAGTTGTAATTTTAGTGCTGTCATAGGAGGAGGCGAGCACAGAATTTACCTATTCCA